CAGAAAGGGTAAAGAAGGCAAGATTTACGTGGTTCGGCAAAGTGCCTACATCCACGGGAGCGAAACAATTCTCTTATTCATAGTGATGGTGATAGTGGTGACACACAACCCTTTAGGGATACAACCAATATATTTATAGGCATCCAATCCCTATACAATAGGTCTACCCGTTTCACTCGTACTCCTAGTATGAGACAAACACTTATTCCTAATCCATATATGAGACAAACTCAACAATCTCTACCTTGGCGAATATGTTCTTTAAGAGAAAAGATAACTCAACAATTCTCCACCTTGACGAATATGCTCTTTAGGAGAAAAGACTTATCTCATCATCTCCACCTTCACATATATGCCCTTTAGGAGAAAAGACTTCTCCACCTTCGCAAATATGTCCTTTAGGAGAAAAAGATAACTCAACAAATCTCCACCATAGCAAATATGTCCCTTAGGAGAAAAGACTTATCTCACCATCTCCACCTTCACAATTATGCCCCTTAGGAGAAAAAAACTTATCTCACATATACACATGGGTAGGAACAACCATGCTCATCCTAACTAGCCAGCCACATGCATACGCAGCATCAAACGTTACCCAGTGCATGTACACGAACCGCTTTGTTCCAAGCCATTCGCCCCTCAGCCGTCGACCTGTTATACCGCCGCGACTCATGCTAACTGCCCCGTTCAGCTGACTTCCTGCATCCGGCCCATACCAGGTCCATATCCCCTCCTGGTATCCACGCTGCCCCTAACACAACAGCGCCCCTGCAAAGTCACACTAAACTCGTGTGCCTTGCCCAATGCTCCACTAACCAGCAATTACCACTGGTCAGCAACACGCACCACACAGCATCAAACGTTTCCCCGTGCATGTTCACGAACTGCTTCGTCCCAAGCAATCCGTAACACCAAGCCATATTAGCCCAGCTCATACCAGCCGTGACTCATGACAAGCCCGACTCATACCAGGTCCATATCCCCTCCTGGTATCCACACTGCCCCTAACACAACAGCGCCCCTCACCACCTTCTCATCTAGCATCTAGAAACGCCCAACAAGTCCAAACAATGTTCGAACTTGTTACTAGTTACCGCTAGAACATCACCATCACCAATAATAAGAGAATACTTTCACTCTCGTGGATGTAGGCACATTGCCGAACCACGTAAATCTTGTCTTCTTTACCTTTTTTTGTCATTATTATTTTTCTGCTGCGTATGCATGTGGCTGACTAGTTGGGATGAGCATGGTTGTTCTTACCCAGTGCAAGTACACGAACCGCTTTGTTCCAAGCCATTCGCCCCTCAGCCGTCGACTTGTTATACCGCCGCGACTCATGCTAACTGCCCCGTTCAGCTGACTTCCTGCATCCGGCCCATACCAGGTCCATATCCCCTCCTGGTATCCACGCTGCCCCTAACACAACAGCGCCCCTGCAAAGTCACACTAAACTCGTGTGCCTTGCCCAATGCTCCACTAACCAGCAATTACCACTGGTCAGCAACACGCACCACGCAGCATCAAACGTTTCCCCGTGCATGTTCACGAACTGCTTCGTCCCAAGCAATCCGTAACACCAAGCCATATTAGCCCAGCTCATACCAGCCGTGACTCATGACAAGCCCGACTCATACCAGGTCCATATCCCCTCCTGGTATCCACACTGCCCCTAACACAACAGCGCCCCTCACCACCTTCTCATCTAGCATCTAGAAACGCCCAACAAGTCCAAACAATGTTCGAACTTGTTACTAGTTACCGCTAGAACATCACCATCACCAATAATAAGAGAATACTTTCACTCTCGTGGATGTAGGCACATTGCCGAACCACGTAAATCTTGTCTTCTTTACCTTTTTTTGTCATTATTATTTTTCTGCTGCGTATGCATGTGGCTGGCTAGTTGGGATGAGCATGGTTGTTCCTACCCAGTGCATGTACACGAACCGCTTTGTTCCAAGCCATTCGCCCCTCAGCCGTCGACCTGTTATACCGCCGCGACTCATGCTAACTGCCCCGTTCAGCTGACTTCCTGCATCCGGCCCATACCAGGTCCATATCCCCTCCTGGTATCCACGCTGCCCCTAACACAACAGCGCCCCTGCAAAGTCACACTAAACTCGTGTGCCTTGCCCAATGCTCCACTAACCAGCAATTACCACTAGTCAGCAACACGCACCACGCAGCATCAAACATTTCCCCGTGCATGTTCACGAACTGCTTCGTCCCAAGCAATCCGTAACACCAGGCCATATTAGCCCAGCTCATACCAGCCGTGACTCATGACAAGCCCGACTCATACCAGGTCCATATCCCCTCCTGGTATCCACACTGCCCCTAACACAACAGCGCCCCTCACCACCTTCTCATCTAGCATCTAGAAACGCCCAACAAGTCCAAACAATGTTCGAACTTGTTACTAGTTACCGCTAGAACATCACCATCACCAATAATAAGAGAATACTTTCACTCTCGTGGATGTAGGCACATTGCCGAACCACGTAAATCTTGTCTTCTTTACCTTTTTTTGTCATTATTATTTTTCTGCTGCGTATGCATGTGGCTGGCTAGTTGGGATGAGCATGGTTGTTCCTACCCAGTGCATGTACACGAACCGCTTTGTTCCAAGCCATTCGCCCCTCAGCCGTCGACCTGTTATACCGCCGCGACTCATGCTAACTGCCCCGTTCAGCTGACTTCCTGCATCCGGCCCATACCAGGTCCATATCCCCTCCTGGTATCCACGCTGCCCCTAACACAACAGCGCCCCTGCAAAGTCACACTAAACTCGTGTGCCTTGCCCAATGCTCCACTAACCAGCAATTACCACTGGTCAGCAACACGCACCACGCAGCATCAAACGTTTCCCCGTGCATGTTCACGAACTGCTTCGTCCCAAGCAATCCGTAACACCAAGCCATATTAGCCCAGCTCATACCAGCCGTGACTCATGACAAGCCCGACTCATACCAGGTCCATATCCCCTCCTGGTATCCACGCTGCCCCTAACACAACAGCGCCCCTCACCACCTTCTCATCTAGCATCTAGAAACGCCCAACAAGTCCAAACAATGTTCGAATTTGTTACTAGTTACCGCTAGAACATCATCATCACCAATAATAAGAGAATACTTTCACTCTCGTGGATGTAGGCACATTGCTGAACCACGTAAATCTTGTCTTCTTTACCTTTTTTTGTCATTATTATTTTTCTGCTGCGTATGCATGTGGCTGGCTAGTTGGGATGAGCATGGTTGTTCCTACCCAGTGCATGTACACGAACCGCTTTGTTCCAAGCCATTCGCCCCTCAGCCGTCGACCTGTTATACCGCCGCGACTCATGCTAACTGCCCCGTTCAGCTGACTTCCTGCATCCGGCCCATACCAGGTCCATATCCCCTCCTGGTATCCACGCTGCCCCTAACACAACAGCGCCCCTGCAAAGTCACACTAAACTCGTGTGCCTTCCCCAATGCTCTACTAACCAGCAATTACCACTGGTCAGCAACACGCACCACGCAGCATAAAACGTTTCCCTGTGCATGTTCACGAACTGCTTCGTCCCAAGCAATCCGTAACACCAAGCCATATTAGCCCAGCTCATACCAGCCGTGACTCATGACAAGCCCGACTCATACCAGGTCCATATCCCCTCCTGGTATCCACACTGCCCCTAACACAACAGCGCCCATCACCACCTTCTCATCTAGCATCTAGAAACGCCCAACAAGTCCAAACAATGTTCGAACTTGTTACTAGTTACCGCTAGAACATCACCATCACCAATAATAAGAGAATACTTTCACTCTCGTGGATGTAGGCACATTGCCGAACCACGTAAATCTTGTCTTCTTTACCTTTTTTTGTCATTATTATTTTTCTACTGCGTATGCATGTGGCTGGCTAGTTGGGATGTGCATGGTTGTTCCTACCCAGTGCATGTACACGAACCGCTTTGTTCCAAGCCATTCGCCCCTCAGCCGTCGACCTGTTATACCGCCGCGACTCATGCTAACTGTCCCGTTCAGCTGACTTCCTGCATCCGGCCCATACCAGGTCCATATCCCCTCCTGGTATCCACGCTGCCCCTAACACAACAGCGCCCCTGCAAAGTCACACTAAACTCGTGTGCCTTGCCCAATGCTCCACTAACCAGCAATTACCACTGGTCAGCAACACGCACCACGCAGCATCAGACGTTTCCCCGTGCATGTTCACGAACTGCTTCGTCCCAAGCAATCCGTAACACCAAGCCATATTAGCCCAGCTCATACCAGCCGTGACTCATGACAAGCCCGACTCATACCAGGTCCATATCCCCTCCTGGTATCCACACTGCCCCTAACACAACAGCGCCCCTCACCACCTTCTCATCTAGCATCTAGAAACGCCCAACAAGTCCAAACAATGTTCGAACTTGTTACTAGTTACCGCTAGAACATCACCTTCACTATAATAAGAGTCATTAGCTTGAACCATGTTCATAGCTTCCTGCTTCTTCAACTCCTTCCAATAAGCCTCTTCCAGATTTGCTGGATTTTCTGCCCTCAAGGTTTTCAGAAGGCCTTGTTGTGCCAACAAATCTTTTACCATAGATTGCCATAACCCAAAATTCCCTGTATCATCAAACTTTGATACCTCGAATTTTGTACTTGAACGGACCATCTCAACAGTGCTCTGATACCAATTTGTTGAAATTAACAAGAACAAGAAACAATAATAATGGCATAAAGGGTAAAGAAGGCAAGATTTACGGGGTTCGGCAAAGTGCCTACATCCACGGGAGTGAAACAATTCTCTTATTCATAGTGATGGTGATATTGGTGACACACTCCTTTTAGGGATACAACCAATATGTTTATAGGCATCCAATCCCTATACAATAGGTCTACCCGTTTCACTCATACTCCTAGTATGAGACAAACACTTATTCCTAATCCATATATGAGACAAACTCAACACCAATAGTGTTTTGCAAAACAAAGAGCAATTGCCCAATGGAAAATGGATATGCTAGGCCAGTAGAAGGAATATATGTGCTTGTGGATTTGCAGAAAATGGAGATTATTGAGTTTGATGACCGCAAACTTGTTCCCTTACCGCCGGCGGTTGATCCATTGAGGAATTACACCGCCGGTGAAACACGAGGAGGGATTGATCGCAGTGACGTTAAACCCCTGTATATTATTCAACCGGAGGGTCCTAGTTTTATCATTAATGGCAACTATGTAGAGTGGCAAAAGGTATGATATATAATAATTCTCGTATTTTGTCATTTTACACATTATTTGTCCACAAATTAAAGGCAATACTTTCACGCCCACACACCCGACCTGATAGGATATGGAGGAATAAATTATGTTGTCTTAGCTGACCTGATACGTTATGGAGGAGTAAATTATGGTGGCTTAGCTTAGTGTCTCATTAGGTGAAAAGACCACGTACACAAGAAACTTATCATATTGGGTGTAACTTGCATACATACTGCGATGGTTAGGACTCAATCTTGTATTCTTACCTAAAATCTAATGATCTACCACCCAATATGTTGATACACATTTTACACATTATTGTTGATACAAAATGTTGATGGTTTTACAGTGGAACTTTAGAATTGGTTTTACGCCAAAAGAAGGTTTAGTCATACATTGTGTTGCATATGTTGATGCTAGCCAAGGCCGAAGACTCATAGCCCACAGGTTAAGCTTTGTGGAACTGGTTGTTCCTTATGGAGATCCAAATGATCCCCATTATAGGAAGAATGCATTTGATGCCGGAGAAGATGGGCTTGGGAAATATGCCAATTCACTCAAAAGGGTCAGTAAATTAATCAATTGTTATATTGTGGATTAGGGTCCGCTTTCTATTTTGGATCCTCGTACAAAACGATATTCAGATTATTATGTGCATGCAATTGACATATTATGTATAACTTAAGTCAATAAATTATGCGTCTACTACAATTAACATTTTATATATATGTAGTTAACATATTGTGCATCTGCATTTAACATATTATGCGCATGTAGTTAATAAATTATGTACATGCAGTTAACATATTATGCACCTTCAATTTATTTACAGATTCACGCATAATTTATTAACTGCAATTAAGCACATTGTATATTAAGTGTAGGCCCATAATCTTCATATCGTTTTGGCGCAAATTATACCCTAGAAACGTGTTCACCATGAATGGTGAACACGGGTCCAAATGGTGTAGTTTTTACGAAAAAAAAAAGTTTAGTTAATGTGCTGTTAACGGCGTGCATTTGTTCAGATTATAAATTTTTTGTTATGAGAATATGAATGTACTGTTTCATAATCTCATAACAGAAAATTCTTAATCGCATAAAAGAAAAACATTTATTAAATTATGAATTTTCTGTTATGAGATTATGAATTTACAGTTATGTAATTATGAATTTTCTGTAAATTCATAATCTCATAACGGAAAATTCATAATTTCATAATAAAAAATTCATAATCTTATAACAGAAAATTCATAATCTCATAATAGAAAATTCATAATCTCATAAAAGAAAATTCATAAGTTCATAACTGCACATTCATAAATTAATGTCTGCACATTCATAATTTATGAATGTTGAAGAAACTTGCGCGAAGAGAAACTGAAACCGCGAAATGTGAAAATGAAGAAGAAAAGTCGCTTGCGCGAAGAGGAAGTGAAACCGCAAAATGTGAAAATGAAGAAGAAAAATCACGCAATTAATTAAAAAAAACAATAATAATAACGGTGTACCATTACTGTTGGAACCGTGTTCACCATCCATGGTGAACACGGTTCTATGGCATAACGATTGTCATTTTGGACCATGGTCCATAATGCAAACTGGACTCTGGTCCGTGGTATAATTTGCGTATTTCAATTCCCAGTTCGATCAATAAAGGCTAATCGAGAAAGAAAAGTTCCACTGTAGGGATGTGATTGTTTGGGATATATTAAGTACTTCGATGCACATTTTACAAATTTCACTGGCGGAGTTGAAACAATTGAGAATTGTGTGTGTTTGCACGAAGAGGATGATGGAATACTTTGGAAACATCAAGACTGGAGAACAGGCTCATCTGAAGTTCGTCGATCAAGGCGACTCACAGCTTCTTTTATCTGCACTTTGGGTAACTATGAATATGCATTCTACTGGCATTTCTACCAGGTAGGCATGCATGTTCAGTGTTCTTTAAAATATCAAATGTACTTGAATTGCTCTCCTATATCTAACCATTTCATCTCACAGTAAAATCTAAGTGTTTATATATGTGCCTTTACTAACAGGAGGGCAAAATTGAGGCAGAAGTTAAACTTACTGGAATTCTAAGTTTGGGAACTTTGCAGCCTGGGGAATTAAGAAAATATGGCACCATGATTGTTCCGGGGTTATATGCTCCGGTTCATCAACACTTCATTGTTGCTCGTTTGAATATGGCTGTGGATTCGAAGCCCGGTGAAGCACACAATCAGGTCCATGAGAACACACTTGAAGTTGAGTAAGACACAAATTATACCATGGATCAGGGTCTACCTTACAAAATGAATCTTGATAAAAAAAATAATCTTCGGATTTTGTACTGTAGTTGACATATTTCGTACTTGTAATTAATCGTTTCTATACCTATAAACAAATTGAAGGCACATCATAAGGTAATTACACACATATTACCTATTATTTGTGTGTCAACTACAAATATAAAATCTGAAAGTTATTTTTGGACCAGGGTTCACAATGCAATATGAACCTTTTTCCATGGTATAACAATTGTGAGTAAGGTGTAGCTTAACTTTTGTTTTCTGACTGGGTGCTATCATTTTTTTACCTATAGGTGGTTGAAATAAATGTGAGGGCTGAAGAACCTGGGAATAAAAATGTTCACAACAATGCATTCTATCCTGAAGAAACTTTGCTTAGGTCTGAATTGCAGGCAAAGCGCGACTGTGATCCCTCCTCAGCTCGCCATTGGATTGTAAGAACCTTTAATTTGTTAAGACAGAGTATAAATTATTCGTTCTAGTTTGTTAAGATCATGTTCTTATCACTATACGTCCACTTTATTTCTTTATGCAACACATTTTCGAGAGGCAGGGTGTTGGACTTGCCCTTCAGGTCCCCTCCCAACAATCTCCTAGCTACCAAGTGCTAGACTGACATTTTAAACCTCTGCCCAACAATCCTTTAGCCACCTTGTGTTGACTTGACCCTTCACCGACCTCCGTCCAACAGTTGTATATATGATATTATCTTAGCTAGGTACCTACAAGTAATATTTTGTAGGTGAGGAACACAAGAACATTGAACAGAACTGGATAGCCAACAGGATACAAGTTGGTGCCTGGTCGAAACTGTTTGCCAATGGCTAGTCCAGAAGCTATGTTTTTGAGAAGAGCTGCTTTCTTGAAACACAATCTATGGGTAACTCAATATGCACCAGGAGAAAATTTTCCAGGGGGAGAGTTTCCAAATCAAAATCCTCGAGTTGGTGATGGATTGGCTTCCTGGGTTAAAAAGGACAGCAACCTAGAAGAAACATACATCGTTCTGTGGTATGTTTTTGGGATCACACATGTTCCTCGCCTAGAAGATTGGCCTGTCATGCCAGTTGAACACATTGGTTTTATGCTCCAGGTATTTTCGTAGCAACATAATTAAATTATTCATCATTCTCTAGCTACTAGAAAAAACAAAAAGTGTTGTTTTGTTAGGATCAACTGCTTACCACTATACTAAAAGTAATACCTCGTAGTGAATATGTAACTTTATTTACTTATATGGTCGCATTTTTGAGAGGATACGCTCGTCCAAAAATAACATTAAGATTTTTTATATGCAGTTGACACATTCTGTACCTGCAGTTAATCATTCTATACCTATAAACAAATTGAAGGCAGGCATAACATGATAACTATAGACACATAAACGGTTAACTATAGATACAGAACATGTTAAATGTAGAGACATAACATGTTAACCAACATCTTGTATGTTTGCAGTTAACATATTTTGTAGTACCTGCAGTTAACAATTGATGTGTTTGTAGTTATTATGTTATGCGTATGTAATTACCATGTTATGTGTCTTCAATTTGTTTACAGGTATAGAAATTGTTAACTGCAGATATATAATGAGTTAATTTTTGATACATAATTTTTGAACCAGGGTTCACAAAGCAATATGAACCCGGTCCATGGTATAACAATTGCATGGTACTAAACTTGACTCTTAATTCAGACTTCCAATCAATAATGTCAAATTATATCATGGACCAGGGTCTACCTTGCATTGTAGACTCTGGTCCAAAAATAACTTTCAGATTATGTATCTATAGTTGATACATTCTGTATATAAAGTTGATAGTTTATGTACATGTAGCTAGTCAAATTCTGTATCTATAGTTACACATTCTATACCTGCAGTTGATAGTTTCTGTACATGTAGCTACCATATTATGTTTTAGTAATTATCTAGTTATTTGTTTACATGTACAGAAAATGTTAACTGAAGGTACAATTTTTTTTTAATCAGGATTCACAATGTAATATGAACTCTGATCCATGATATAACAATTGATCAATAATTTTCTAATTACCTTGTGTTGGACTTGGCGTTTCACAGGCCTCCGTTCAACACAAGCTTAATTTTTTTTATTTTTTTTATTTTTTTATTATTATTATAAGGGAAGAACATATACAAGCTTAATTTAAACTTATAGCAACAAGATTCTAATTAGATATTTTTGGGTGCTACAGCCACACGGGTTCTTTAACTGTTCGCCAGCCGTGGACGTGCCGCCGCAAGGATGCAACTAAAATACCAACCAATTGAAACCTATCATGAAGACATGTGGCATGCATCTCCTTTATCTTGCCCAACTTTAATTTCAATGCTAAACTGCGATTTCGTTTTTATAAAATAAAGAACTACCATAAGCTATAATAATTTAAGATTGAACTGGAGTTCTGTTATGCAAAGACTCTCTCTTACTATAACTATTATAATTCTAAATATAATATTGTTCTAATATGTTACTTCAATTCATTGATCCCACCCACTCAATTTTATTTGCTCTAATTTTGTTTTAATGCTTTTTTTTGAGTGGCGAAACCTCCGGTAACTATTTGAGGGTGTGCATTACATAAATCCCGTCCTGTGACCCTAGCCAGAAAATGATCAAAAGAATGTAAATTAGTCTATGTTGCTCATAGTTGATTAACTCAAACTAACACGTGGAACGTAGTATGTTTTTATGGGATGACATGAAGATTTGGGACTAATTCTGATATCAAATTAAATGTGTTTCATCATAACTAAAAGTCTAAGTTGATAGTTAATGTTGGATATTTATATAGTAAATGTTAAATATATTAATTTACACATGTCTACCGGAAGCATAAGTAATATTTTATATTACCTCCCAAATGCTCTGTCGGGTCGGGGGTGTGGGGGCCCTTAGGGTTGGGGTTCAGCCTTTTGGAAGAATATTTTATATTAGTGTTGGGATCATGGTGTAAGAAAGCTTAAGTTGTTTAGTGACTCGCAACAAGTGGTAGATTGGCTCTCGGGTGGCGTAGAACCTTTGGGCCATTGTGGATCTCTCGTGTCTTGGAGTAAGGAATAGCTCGAGAAGGACTAGACGATCACCATCGCTCACATACCACGTGATCAAAATAACACTGCTGACTGGTTGGCTAAAGTGGCGCCGAGAAAAAAGTGCGAATGGATTGAGTTCAATAGATGCCCGGAGGAAATCAGAGACTTCATGACGAAAGACCGTGAACTGCTATTTTCAACAGAAAGGAGAAGCCAGTGTATCAGGGTACCCCCTTCCCCTTCCCCAAAAAAAGAATTAACTTCTCAGGAGTTAAGTCCAAAAGGTTTATTGAAAATTTTCCTGAGTTGATCAATAATGGGACATCGTAATATGTTTCCAGAAATTGTAAATATCATATTTACTAATATAATGGATTCTTGATCAGTTACACAATAATTTAAATATTAAATTTAAATTATTGTAATCATTATGAGAATAATGATTGTGAAACTTTGTGATCAAGCATTTCCTTTGTTTTTCTGGTTCTCAGGTTCTATTACGAATTTACGAGACCTAGTGAGCTACATGATTAGCTGATCTACAAATCAAGTGAAAGATTACTAATAGCTTATTGGAGCATTAAAAAGTCAGTTTCAAAGATGATGTTCTATACTGCTTTTGTTTCATCAAAAAGTCCTATAAGTGTCTCTTCATGCCTTAAGTGTGATGAAATTACGAATATCATTGAAACATTGGTAAATAGATATATTATAAACTATTATAAATATTTATTTTAATTTTTCTTATGTGAATAGACGTATGAGACCAAAAGATATGTTGGAATGAAGAAAGATAATCAAATTGATTCAATCAACCGTACGTGATGGCCGGATTACATGACCGGTAGATGTTTCACATTTGTTGAGCTAATTACATTTCATTTGCCTTAAATTTTATAAGAATAAGGGTCAAATAGGCCATTGAACTGCACACAATAATGTAATTAAGCCACTAAATTAAAAAAAACAACAATTAGGCCACTAAACTAAGCAATTTCATTCAATTGTTCTAATTTACAGGTTTTGTAGGTTACTAACAGGTCACCCAAACAATTTAAAATATTTTTTAAAAAATTATTATTTAAAAATAATAAATTAAAATTAAAAAAAAAAACTCGTCTCTGCCGGAGACGAAGAAAGTTTCTTCGTCTCCGCCCAGAGACGAAGAACCTTCTTCGTCTCCATGGCCGGAGACGAAGAAACTCTTCGTCTCCATGGCCGGAGACGGAGAGTCTCTTCGTCTCCGGCCATGGAGACGAAGAAACTTTCTTCGTCCATGGCCGGAGACAAGAAACTCGTCTCCGGCGGAGACGGTTAATGTTTTTTTTTTTTTTTTAAATTTTAATTTATTATTTTTAAATAATAATTTTTTAAAAAATATTTTAAATTATTTTGGTGACCTGTTAGTAACCTACAAAACCTGTAAATTAGAATAAGTGAATGAAATTGCTTAGTTTAGTGGCCTAATTGTTGTTTTTTTTAGTTCAGTGGCCTAATTGCATTATTGTGTGCAGTTCGATGGCCTATTTGACCCTTATTCCAATTTATATTTTATTAATTGTATTGTAAGTTATTGTAGTGCTCTATACATCCGGGGAGTACTAAATGCGGTTATTATTTGATGAGATTCACGTATGAGATAATTTCAATTCAAGCATACAAAGAAATTAATAAGCCAAGTGTTGATTTGGTATATAATTGTGCAAATAAATAAAAGTCAATAGTTTAATGCGGTAAAATTAAAAGAACATAATTAAATGTTGCAAATTGGAATGCCGTAATATTTAATGAGTAAAAGTGGAATTTGCCATAATTATATATTAGATACTAGATTTTTATTTTATTTTATTTTTAAATAAAAAGATAATTCATTAATCATAGCAGAAATGTTTACAATACAGATGGTTAGAATGACCATGCATTCTTTACCGAATTACCGTCAGACATAGAAACAAATTTTCTAGCAATGTTATAAAAAACTTGGATCGCAGACTGCTTTACAAATTTGAAGCCAAAGTTGTTGGATGAACTCGATGCTTCTTCACATATCTGGTCAAACATAGTCAAGCCTGACTCTGGTGGGACCATTTTAACATCCACGCTTATAAGGAGACCAAAGAAACGAGAGGAAAACTCGCCAAAGAAACGAGAGGGAAACACTCGCCAGAGAGACGAGAGAAAACAAACTAGTCAAAAGAACAAAGGGATAACGTAAAACTAAAAGAAAACAACATAAACGGAAAAAAGGTATGTAAAAAACCTGTCAAATCTGTAGAGTCTCTAAAGCCTTCTCTGAAAAACAATCGGAGATGATCTGAGATCTGACACGCACCGCCGGCTCAACCCTCCATTAGAGTGTCAGCCGGCAGCACCAAGTCGTCTGGCCTTTACTTCGTGGGAGCAGACGAAAATGGGAGAGAAAGCGGTTGAAATGGGAGAGAAAGCAGTTATTTTCTTTTAGATATATACTAGATTTTTTTTAATTATATATTTTTGAAACTCTAGAATTTTGTATATTTTGATGATTTAATTTTTATTTTACATGCATATATATGCTTTGTAATAGTACACCTTGTCAATAAAAAGTTTGTACGTTTCGATCAACAACTCCATTGCAAAGACACTCTTAGCTTGATCCCTCCACCAAATACATTTGAAATAAGGACCAACATTTTTTTTCCGTTCTAGCCGGCTTGCTTTGTTTTATTAGGACTCTATTATCCATATTAGACTAGGACTATATTATCCATATTAGACTAGGACTATATTATTCGTGTTAGACTAGGATTATATCTAGCATCTCTATATATTCGCTCCCTGTACTCTCAGACATCATTATTGAATACAGAAAATATATTCTCATCTGGTATCAGAGCCAGGGTTTTCTTTTCCAACATCCATGTTCCTCACTTCGTAGCAGTAGCCGATGGCATCAAACCAAGATACATCGTATCAGAAGCGGTCCGGTCAACGACGTGACGTTGATGATCCGTGTCAAATTTGTAACGGTTTCGGCAACACGGGTGCTGTAACACCCCCCAAACAAGACCTATATAAAAGCCTTAACACATGCAGATTAAGCGACAAAACTAGCACAGCGGAAGATAAAAACGAAACTGGATAAAAAGAAATCCAACGGGGTGTCACGCCACGTCTACCAAACACGGTAAACGCTACGGCAACAATCTGCAAGTGTGTACATCTATCCCAAAACATCAGTCTAACTACATCAGCA